AATCTTCGGAGGAAAACGTCACTGCGCCACAAAATTATTTCCGAATCTCCATTTTATTACGCTAAACAAATAACGGATACTGTCGGAAAAACAGCGAAAACTCATGTGATCGAACCAGCTCAAAAAGAATTTTCTGGTAGGAAATAATTTCGTGGATTTTTCAGCGGTTAAATTCAGGCGAGCCAGAAGTATCAGCGCCCGATTGCCCAGGAGATTCTAGTGGGAATAATTTCGTGGCGAGTGACGGAAATTTGCTGTCAGCAGATAAACCATGTATTGTTGGTGATACCTCCACACCCGTTACGGCATCATCATCAAATACGGCTGCTGCTGTACAGGACGAGGACAGCAAGTGGGTGACAAAAGCGCGCGCCATGTTGATCGATTTTGCAGGTTGATAATGTATATTGTTGGTGGGGTTATTGGTGTGATCGTGATTGGTAGTATTCTTATGAAGTATCAAGCGCTGGGTGAATATACATCTTTTTGGGCGCGCATACTGGCTCTGGCGTTAGCAGGAGCCTCTGGTGGCTTTGGGAGTATACAATATAGGTAATAATGACGGGAAATGGTAATGATTTATTGGAGTTTCACCACCCTAGTGATATGAAAAACACTAGTGGAAAACATATTTCACGACTACTGCATATCACCGCGAATTCCGCGTTTTTCACCGAGTTTTACGACGCCACTCCACGTAAAACGGGTAGTTGTGAAACTTCATTTTTGCGCATTTTTTTGAATGAAATTCTACGAATTTGTTACTGTATATCTTTTAATGGAGTTTCACGACCGTGATATGAAAAAAAATATTTCACGACTACTGCATATCACCGCGAATATCGGGTTTTTCACCGAGTATTACGACGCCACTTCACGTAAAACTAGTGAAATTCCATTCATGTTATGACAAATACCGAAATTTACAGTTTCGTTTCGGAAACCGGGGTTTTTCGATGGTGTGGATTTTATTGAGGAAAACTTCGTAAACTATGATATGTTGGTGAAAATGTGAAAATTTTCGGGAAAAATTTGTTGTTTTTTACCCGAATTTTCATGTAAAATTCCTATCATCAGTTTCCAACTCTGTTTTTTCTTCTCAGCCTTTACAACAACCTGGCGTGCCGTAACTTCACAGCGTTGGGTTACGGAGATTGTCCAGCGCTACTCGCGATTTACGTGATGTGGGGTATGGCTGCATTTCACTTGATATTCAATCTGCCTTTCCTAATGGTTTCCCTCAATAGAATGGCCGACTGGTAATATCAGCGTTGAGGAAATACAAGATTGCAAGATTTGACTTATTTTTCATAGGTATGCGAAATTTGGACTGATGTCACAGGCTTCGGTGTAATGGAAATCTTGAAATCTTGCTAAATCT